CAACAACAACAACAATCAACAACAATGATGTATATGTATTTATTTTTAACTACAATTTAAAACCATTTTTAAAAATCTTTTCTAAAAAATGTATGATTTGCAACCACCAACAGAAGACAATGGGGGATGAATACACCACTGATGTTCGCCATAGGAAAGGTCAGTGATGACTTTAGTTTAAAAAGTGTTCAGAATAGGTACTATCAGTCATCCCCCAACTAGGAAAAAAATGGATACATTTATAAAGATCTACTGACTTGTCTAGTTTTCAGTGATGAAACTTGTTGATAATGCCTCCAAGAAAATTTGGATGGAAATGTGTGTGTAGGCAATTCAACCCAGTGGGAGCATCTTTCATGAGTTTTAGAGTAGTTGGTTTAAGTCATTCTTCTTTGACAGTAGGATCACTGTTATCTTTATGCATAATTTGAATAAAATTTACAAATGCTGTTTGATTGTCACCTTTCCCACTCCTTCCAGATTAGACTCTTCCTCCCTTATTTTATTTCTTGCCTTTCTTTATGGCAAATAGATAGCATGCCAGTGCTAATTGTAGAAGATTCTTGGTTTTAGGGAATATTGTCAGTAATCAGCACACAAGAATGTTCAGGCCCTAAGGGCTATCTGAGGGTATGGAAGTACAAATGCACAAAGAGGCTCTTCAAGACTCTCTTCCCTGGTCTTGATACCCAATCTGTAGTATTCAATGCAACACATCTGGATGGTACCAAGTGCACTGTGGGATACAATGGGGATGAAAACTGCAGTGGAACAAAGACCCTCCCCCACAAATAGCTTTCAAATTCAATTCCATACTAGCTAAGACATACTCAAATAACTATAACATAAGGTATCATTTGCCATTGAGTTCATTTTGATTCATGGCAACTCCATGTGGGTCTGAGTAGAACTGTGCTCCTTAGAGCTGTCTATGGCTGATGTTTTAGAAGAAGGTCACCAGACCTTTCTGCTGAGGTACCTCTAGGACCTGTTAGCTAGCAGCCGAGCACTTAACCCTTTGTACCACACAGGGACTTCCTAATATAAGTCAGAGTGATATAAGCTATAAATATTGATAGGGAAGCTGCCTCCAAAGCAATTAAAGAGGATGTTACATTGTCTTCTTTTGACCCAAGGTTTTTACTCGGTTAAGTTAAACTAGTTTGTGTGTGCACCTGCCAAGCTCTAGGCTTGTGTGAGGGGTGGGCCATACAGCGTGAATGAAACGCAGGCCTAGCTCTAGGCTAGCTACTTCTGTTAAGAGTCCTCAGAGCTTTGCTAAGGTGTCTCCTTGAGGTCAGCATCTGAGGGTTTGTCTTTCCTCTCAAACAGCCCATGCACAGAAGGAGAGAGAACAAACATTTTCCTGGGAAAGGCATGAACATGGAAGCACAGCAGCTGGAAGTTGGCAGGGTGCCCTTGGAAGGTGGGGGAAGTGATTTATTTTTCAGCCTCACCACAGGAACCGAAGCCCTGACAGATGCCTCCTTGCTTTTGCAGCAGCTGATCCAAGTGGGATCATTATTAATTATTAGTTACTTTTGAGTGTCTTTCTCAGAAACTGCAGAATACTTGGGAAGCCCAGCTCCTCTTGTGTTGCAATCAATACTGCACACACCTCATATGGGGGACCAGAGTGGCATGTAATTATAAAACAATATTGATTCCTGGCATAGGGGTTGGAACGTACAAATCCTTCACATAAAAATCAGCTAAATCTTCAAAGGCTTGATTTTTTTTCCTTAAGAAAGAGACTAGTGGTTAGAGTTTTTTAAAAACTGTTAGCTAAATTAGAGCTAGTTCCTGCCAGGTGTTAGATATGTACACATAATTATTTTATTCTCTTTGCTGGCACTGATTCATCTGGGTTGAGTGTTGGAAATATCTCTGTTTGGGTCTGTAGTCCAAATTATTCAGTTGATTTTTGGTCTGATGTTTTCAGCTCGTCTTCCTGTATTATTTTTCTGCTAAACATATATGGAATGTGACTCTTTCTGGCACCCAAAAATACCCCTCTTTCCCATCCTCAAACCTGCTTTTCCTTCTCACACACTCAAGTCACCAAACTCTGCCATTTGCTTATTTCTAATTTCTCCTACTAACTTGATATCTATTCCAGCCCTGATAGGAAGACTGAATGTCTAATTAGTGTTTTTAGTCTTTCCTCCTTTCAGTTATATCCTCATCCTCAGAAAAGATAATGAATGTGGACTCTCAGGCTCCCTCTGCTTAGCTCATTGATACTGTGTCAGTGCATGCCTGAAGCAGCAGAATAGCTTCTCACTGCTTTTTAGCTTCTAGTCTTACCACTTCCCAAACCTATAGGAAGCCTTTTGAAAATGCAACTCTGATCAGATCATTGGGCTGCTTAAATTCCTTCTGTGTCTGATCAATGATGGACAAATCTCTGATGGACAAATAATTACTGATCTGGAAGTGAAAGACTGTAAATCTCAAAAGATTCAGCCTATCTCCTGAACCTCAGAGGCTCTTGGTAGGAAGTAGGTAGGACGATTGCAGCACTGGCTGCATCAGGAAGGCCTCTTGATGGCATGTGATTGTCTGTGGTTGGTTTAGTCCTAGGAGGCTGTTTCCTGGGTTATATAGAGCTAGCAATGTCGGCAGTTCAAACTCACCAGCCATTCCTCAGAAACCCTATACAGAGTCACTGTGAGTCAGAAACAACTCAATGACACCTAGCAACAACAAAATAGAGCTAGTTTGTCAGTGTGATACAGCCACAATCTGTTAACTTCCGGTACCTGCTGTTTTCTCAGTCCTGTAATAAAGTGTTAAGAATGTTGGGAATGGATCCCCCTTAGGTGTTTCTTGTGGCCCTCCTGTTTGAGGGAGGAAAAGTCCCAGTATCTGTGCCCTGACACAGAGGACTTATAAACTTCCTTACAAGGAGTATGAGTAGCATATTGGAGTCCTGATGTGGCCGCTGTAGGATAATACACCTGATCACAAGGTTGAGTTGAACCACCAGGTCAGTGGTTCAAACTCACCAGCTGCTCCTCAGAAACCCTATACAGGGTTGCTATGAGTCAGAACCCACTCAGCAGCACTTAACAACAACAACAACAACAACGGCATATTATGTGGTAAAGCACATTGTAATGCATGACTGTCTTGCACAATGTAGCAGGGTTAGCATCCCTGGCCTCACTTGCTAAATGTTCCCCAGTCATTGGAACAACCAGAAAAAGCTCCCGCATCTGCCTACACAGTTCCAAATGTTCCGAGGAAAGGAGTACTCTCTCTAGATGAGAACTATTTACTTCTGTAATTGCTTAGCCTACTTTGATGCCTTCTCCTAAGATATTCTCCTTGCTTGAAAGTATAATGAAGAGCTGGAAAAATTATGATCTTCATGTCAACTCCTGTTGCCTCTTCATCTTCCGTAATGATGGAGTTCAGACATTCGTCATATTGCCTGACTTTGAAATCAAGCTCCACCATATGCCGAGTATATGGCCTTGAGCAATTTTAATGACTCTGTGCTTCAGTTTTCTCATATGAAATTGGGATAACAATAATATTTACCTCAGAAGATTGTTGGGAAGAGCAAGTAAGTTAAAGTATGTAAGGTGGTTACCACACTATCCAGGGCCTGGTAACTGTACAGTAAATATGAGATGATGATGATGATTCCTGAGCATCACGGTGTTACTTGAGTGGGTAGTTCTGATTTGTTAAAAATAAATAGTCCATAAAACTCAGAGAGGCAGCAGAAGGAGAAAGGGTAGTTAACTAAATAGAAACCAATAACTTCTATTGCACCATCAGCCATTACTTGTCTGGTTTTGCTTTATGAAATGTTGGACTTACATGGTGTGGAAAGAAATGAATGGCAATAGCATTGTGACTGTACTTCAAAACCTAAATAATGTCATAAACTCTTTGATGATACTTTATAAGGAACCTATTATACATGAATGTTTTCTGCCTTGGCTTTGAAAATTCCCATCACTAATTGAGAGTATGTGCTTTATGGAAACTTCTAGGTTGAAGTAGAAACCTGACGAGTCTACATACATGATCAATGATATAGTGTTCCACATCACCCTCTCCCTGCCATGAGAGCCCAGGAGAAGGGAGAGGAAGAGACTCGGAGCATTCTGTCATCTCTCCATTAGCGCTGCTGTCTTAGTTCTACAGCTCTCCTGGCTGTTTTCCTGACACCCCACTTCCAGTGTCTGTTTCCCTCATGATTGTCCTCTTGTTCTCCCTAGCAACAAAGGCGAGAGAAAGAGCTGAGGAAGCAGCAGGAGAGGGAACAGCGCAGGCACTATGAGGAGCAGATGCGCCGGGAGGAGGAGCGGCGGCGTGCAGAGCATGAGCAGGTACAGCAGGACCAGGGTACCACCGATGGCTCCAAGTGAACTCCAGTGCCAGGCGTCCATGGGGTGTGGGTCACTTTCTCTTAGGTCTGCTCAGTTTAAGTGGGTTTTCACTCTTCCTCAAGCAACTATTCTCACCTATTCAAGCAGTCAAATGCACAACCTTGGCAACACCCACTCATTCAGCCTCACTCCCAACCCAGGCCAAAGCCCCTTGACATACCTTAATCTTCTGGTTCTCCCAAGCCCACGTATCTGCTTTGAAGGCAGTGCTGAAGCATGGGTACTCTCCAAGTACTACTGTCATTGCTTCAGAAGAACTTTTCTACTCATGTGCTCTCTGTTCTCCATGACTTGAGTCATTGATGTAGACCCCTTTCTCTCTCTCCCTGTTAGAGTCACATTCTAACAGCACAGAGGAAATCTGCAGGAGGGTTCCGTTACAAAGATGGCACATGATGGCATTCGACGATTGTTTTATCCCTGCTGGCTACACAGGATCCTCTGAAATTTATAGCATTGTTAATTCCAGGCAGTCCATAAAAAGCAGAGCCAGTAATGAAAAGCTTTAAAATGTACTTGGGTATATGAAAATCAAATCATAGCAATAAAACGGAGCCATCTAGTCAGCTATTGTGGGTAGAGGATTTGTGCTTTTGACTATATTGAAATGCTTTTGCTTTGGTGTGTGGCATACTCTTCCTGTTTTGTGAGGAGGTGTCTGGGTATTTTTTTTCCCTCCTTCCTTCTATACCTTACTTGGCAGCTCTTGTCACCTTTGAAATTACCGGTTCTTTTTCTCTCTCTCTTCTGTCTCTCTTGGTGTTCCTCTGAATTCTCTGCTGCCCACCTCGCCAGGAGTACATCAGGCGACAGTTAGAGGAGGAGCAGAGGCAGTTAGAGATCTTGCAGCAACAGCTACTGCATGAACAAGCTCTACTTCTGGTAATGGGAAAGCCAAGTGCCAGCTCACCTGCTCTGTGTTCATACTGTATGTGTCTGTCTGTCTGTCTGTGCCTCCTTCCAAAAGAGGGAATCCTCCTAGCTTCATGTACCTCCAAAATCTCACAGAAACTGAATGCATTTCGTGACTGAATTTGCCAAATATTAAGACGTTTAATATACTCATTACTCCATCTATTTCAGAAGCATTAGCATGAATCCAGCCTTATACAAGCTCAGACTGTTTTCAAGACCCACTGTGTTGATGGCAGAGGAATTTTTAAGGCCATTTACAACATGCTGGAATACAATCACAGCAAAATTCCCCTCTTCCATAAAAACACATTATGTTATAAAGTCAAATTTTATTTGCAGACTATTAGTTTTCCCCTTACAATGGGGACATTTTGTGTTCTTGTGATCATGTAATTTTCCCTTAAAGTGCTTTTTAATTTATTATTATTGTACTGTTCTCCAAATGGACTTCTTTGTGGATGTATTTTTAAATTGTACTTTTATTCAGTGACGTTATGGTTTTTTTTTAAGCTTGTTAATGAGTTTTGTTGGTCCAAGTTTTATAAAACAAAAGATGACTTAGGCAATTATCTTTAACCATTTATTTAGTTTTGTAATCAATGATACATGCTTCAGTGCTTTAATTACTAAATCAGGAAATGGATGACTCCTTGTAGGGCTTGTGTACTGACCATCCAAATGTCCTCACTATTGCTACTTTCTCAGTTGCAGTAAGACAAGTCACTGCAAGTGGTGGTATTCTGTACAGGTTTCCATTAGAGCACTCATGTTTTCATTATAGACCCACATTCTTGTGCTAATGCTAACCTAAGCTTAGCTTGCATCTATGGCACATTCTGACATCTGCTAGTATGAGATTCCATTGTCTTTTCATTCCATTTTCCCATGAACTTTTTGAAACCCCCTTGTATTAATATTCGCCATTATTTATCATCACTTTTGCCTCCATTGTTTGCTTAATTGGTCCTGGCCACTGGTTTCTATATGGTGATTTGGCCTTTTCTTTCCACCTCTTTCCCAACCTACTCAGGAATATAAGCGCAAACAATTGGAAGAACAGAGACAAGCAGAAAGACTGCAGAGACAGCTAAAGCAAGAAAGGGACTATTTGGTATCCCTTCAGCATCAACGGCAAGAACAGAGGCCTGTGGAGAAGAAACCACTGTATCATTACAAAGAAGGGATGAGCCCTAGTGAGAAGCCAGCTTGGGCCAAGGAGGTAAGTAAAAACGGGGTGCCATGCCACATTGGACAGTCTTTGAGTGATAATGCATTTACCTAGTAGATACGGACACATAAACTCGTGCTGCTAAACTGGAAAACAATTCATTATAAGGTACACACTTTGCTTGGGAAGAAATGTAATTGTTTTTCTGTAGAAATGATTATTGCTATATAGAAAAGATAGGGTACCTTATTCCATCCAGGGTTCTTGGGATTTTTAAAGGCAACTGCTGGAAGTAGAATCATTATTTTCTTTATAAGAGTCCAGCTCAATTTGTGATATGACAATCTTTTGTGACTTTTCTGTGGGAAAGTCTGATGTAAAACATTGGAATTTTGCGTAGGGTTACTATGCGCCCATATGTGGGTCCTATTACTGATTGTTAGCGTTAGTGCTAATACTGCCAGGTTCTTATGTGGTGCTAACTGTCACACAGTCAACTTTAAGACTTGGACTTGTAGTGTTCACTTTCCAGGATCAGAGGTGTTAATATTTCATTTGCAAACACTTCCAAAATAATGGTCCTTCATTTTCTCAACATCCAAATGAAGAATTTTCATCAATTTGGCTCTATAATTAGCTATTTTAAACATCTAATTAAAATTAGTTTAGATGGGAAAGTGGGGGGATGGCGATAGCCAAACAGGTCAAGCAAATAAGCAATAACTCTATCCAAGATCAACCAGTCTCCCAGGGCAACACCGTATCAGGAAACGTAGTGTAACACAGGATTTTCAATTCTGTCATTCGTGGGGTTTTTATTTAGGGCGATTTGCTCTATGTTCCTCTCACCTCAACTAGTCACTTCAAAAATGGGATTTTTGATGTCTGACTTTGGTTTTTAATCTACTATCTTTAGGTATTTGTCATTGTTGTTGTTAAGTGCCTTTGAGTTGATTCCCACTCATAATAACCCTGTATAGGGTTTCTGAGGCTTTAAATCTATGCAGGAGCAGAAAGCCTCATCTTTCTCCCATGGAAAAGCTGGTGGGCTCAAACCAGTCCAGTGCTTATCCTATGGAGCTGCTTCACTCGCTATATATTTATATCTGGACATTTTTCAGGTTATCGAGGCATTACCAGAACCAAACTGGCATTGCCAGAACTAGATCCTATTTTTTATAAGAAAATTCTGTGGTCTCCTTTACTTTTTTGTTAATTCTACATATATGTGAAATGCTTGACATGGTATTGTCCTAATATTAATGATGGATGTTTATGGGAGGTAGAATTTGTAGGCCACTGTAGAATAGGCACAGGACTGCTAACTGTGCTAGTCACAAGATCTGCCAGTTCAAACCTACCAGCTGCTCTTGGAAACCTTGTAGAGGGTAGCTATGTGTCAGAACCGACTGGACAGCACACAAAAACAACCAATATTATTTAAACAGTTTGTAATGGTAATGTAGTGTTTTTATAAGAGAAACAAAGTAATTTTCCTTTTAAAACTAAAAAGTCAACTTGTAGAGAAACACTTCTAATTCAAGGTAGAGAATATTTTTCTTCACTTTAGTATAAATATGATCCTTAGCAACCTTAGTTTAACTGCTGCCTCTTTCTCTCAGATCAATAATTCAGTTTTGTGATCCTACTCCCAGGTACAGCAACGGCTCTTTAATAATCCACCTGTTCTTCCAGCTAAGCAGGATCACTCTGCTGTTAAACAGCAGCTCGCGTGCTTCCTGGCTGGCAGAGATATGCCATCTTCATCCACTTCTAACCTACTTTCTAAGCCAGACTCACAGCTCCTGACCTTGGCAGGTGTTCAGAAAGCTGAAAAACTAGCCTCTACAAAGCTAATGCCAGTCGTACCTGCAGGGATTAATGGTTCCAGATCAAGACTCCATCACTCACAGAAGAAAGATGGGCCAGCTTGTCCTATTAGACTTGATCTTGAAGAACAACTGAAGCCTCAGGAAACTTCAAGGACCGTAGTGAGATCTTCAGAGAGATCTCGCTCCCAAGGATGTAGATCACCTCGAGGGTTAGGATCTAAGGCTATTTGTGTGTCCTCTCCGAACATTTCCAAAGTGACAAGCCCCTTATTGTCCATTACTGGAATTAAGGAGGACCTTAGAGACTCACATGGACCTTGGGGCAGGAGGGCCATGAATTCACGCGTGTTCACCAGTGCCTCAACCCCTCTAAGAAGTGCTGCATCCTTAGGTGACCTCTCCTTGATGCCTGACCACCTGGTCTTCCATGTTCCCAGCCACAAGCATGGGCTTAGGAGAGGCTCACCCCCAGATCCCATTGAAGAAGACCATCCTTCCCTGCAGAGCATCCCAGAATTCCTTCTTTCTCCTCCACAGCTCCTCCATGCACAAATGTACCAGAAACGGGGGAAGAGCTTGGAGCAGTTTCCACTCCCTTCCTTCAGCCTCTACCCAGCCTACTCTGATTTGAATTTATCCTCTTGGACTTCATTGTTTTCTAGTTACTATTTGTCCTCGTCACTAAATTTCCTAGCGTATCCTCTCTGTTCTGAGGTAGTTCGCAGTTCCCGGGCGTTCAGAAGCAGCGAGATTCCTGGACGCAAGTGTTTGCAGACGTCATCGAGGAAGTTTTCTAGACCTGCTATTTCCCCTAGGCTTCCTCACCAAGATCCTAACAGTAAAAGACACATAGCACTTGGGAGTGCAAACAACATGGCTGTGTCATCAAGCACTCCCGATGTGAGATTCCCCGGGCATCATAAGTCTGGGCCACCCCCGGTGGGTGACATCTTCCCAGGTCCCTGGCTTCCAAGCAGCTGGTGCTCTTTGTTTGGGCTTCATGCATTTCTAGACATGTGTGGGAACATGCTTTTGGGATTTCATATTTCATCCTATCCTCCTGGGTGTGGTTAACCTAGTCTATCTTCCAACTAACCTTCAGTCTGTTTGGGAAACAGTTCCCAAGCCTTGGAGTAGGTGTCCATATTTTAGAAGAAAGATGAGACATTATTAAGATAATAGAATGAGTGGCAGTGCTAAATTGGGGAATCAGAACAACTGGGGTACAAACAAGACCAAATAATTGTCTGCCTTGGCTTGATTCATTTTTTAAACACCTGCTTCTTACTGAGGTTGGTAAAACTGAGAGTGAGAATCTTTGTTTTCTTACCATTTTAATACTTTCACATGAGCAATATACAAACTTTTCTTCTAATGTGTTATTTACAGATCTTTTTTTCTTACACTGGAGAGGTGGGTGGGGCTCAAAGTAGCCAAACAGTAACATCTTTTAAGACTTTGGATATGAACAGAATTTCTGGATTATCCTCATTTTAATTACCAACTGATTAAATAACCTTGTGTGGAGCTATAGGATAAAGCACTCAACCCCAAGGTTAGCTTGAACCACAAGATTGGCTGTTAAACCTACCAGCTGCACCTCAGATACCCTATACAGACTCACTATGTGTTGGAACCTACTCAACAGCACTTAACAGAACTTTCTTTGGGAGGTAGAATTTTAAAATGCCATTTGTTTTTCAAATGTATCTTCTTCTAGGGATGAGTCAGTAGCTATGCCCAGGCCACTCTTTTCTGTGATACAGGGTTTGAACATTTTTTTTTTTCTTGCCCCATGTGCCGTTGAAGATGCCACCCCACCACCTTCCACCCATTCCAACCTCTTCTGAAATCTGCTCCATCATTTGATTTCTAACTCAACTTTGCACCTTTTCATCAAGATGGCTTCCTTACCTGAGTACTTTTCCATCCACTTAACGTCTTCTCTTCCTAAGCTCAAATCAACAATTTTTCATCAGCAGTGTAATGTTGTTATAATGCTTCATGCTCTGTACTTTTGTTTCTTCACTTTGTAAAATAGAAGTGATAATCGCATCTCTCATTACCTTTCTCATTAACTTGTTGGATGCAAGTAGGAGCAAATGAAAGTACTCAATCATGTTCAGATCCTAATGAGCCTTTCTCTGTCTCTTTTACTGAGAATGTTATCTGTCCTGAATGTCACATTGGCTTTTATTTTCAGATTTCAGCCAGAAAGGAGCATTAACGTCTCTGTGTTAAAGGGGACAAGGAATCCTCTCCCCTTTCAAGCTCCATTTGCTGGGCTGGTAATAATCTGTGTCATCTAAATCTCCCTTCCACATCTGGATTAGGATGGAAGTCAGATTTGTCTAGTGAAAGTATCAGTATGACCTGTTAAACATCAGTAGAATTTGGAGGTTCTTTTTCCTCACTGTTACTTTTTGGATAGTTGTTGTTCTTGTTTATAGGTGCCTTTGAATTGGTAGTGATTCATAGCAACCTTATAGACAACAGAATGAAACCTGCCTAGTCCTGAGTCAACTACACAATCATTCCTGCACTTGAGACCATTGCTGCAGCCATGCACCCATTCATCTCATTGAAGATCTTTCTCTTTTTCACTACCTTCCACTTTAACAAACATGACATCCTTCTCCAGGGACTGCGCCCTCCTGATAGCATGTCCAAAACATGAGAGATGAAGTCTGGCCATCCTGGCTTCTAAGGAGCATTCTGACATCACAGATTTGTTTGTTCTTTTCATGCTTCATGGTACTTTTAATATTCTCCTCCAACACCGTAAGGCAAATGCATCAGTTCGTCTATGGTCTTTTTTTATTCATTGTCCAACTTTCACATACATATGACGCGATAGACAATACTACAGATAGAGATTTATTAGCGTAGTGGTTATGAGTCAGGTTGTTAATCTCACAGTCAGCAGTTCGAAGCTACCAGCTGCTCCGTGGGAGAAAGATGAGGCTTTCTGCTCCCGTAAAGATTTACAGCCTCAGAAACCCTATGCAAGGTCACTATGAATCGAAACCAACCCCATGGCACACTACCACCACCACCATTCCTTAAAATGGCTCGTGATTGTATGGCCCTGACAACAAATGTGCAAACATCCCACACCTCACACACACTTCATTTTTTATTTTGCATCAGCTATAGCAGGAACAGAATGCTCTGTCTACATGAGTGTTACATAAGATTATTTTTTTCTGACACTTAACT